TCACTCTTTAGCGATCGTTAGACAAAAGCGTGAAACCCAGGGTCACAAACTCACATCCATCCAACCAAATATGTTAGCTCTATCTCTGATATTGAGCGCTTTCTAATAAGTAGCGCATATAATATATAAATAATATACATATATATATATATATATATATATATATATATATATATATATATATATATATATATATATATATATATATATATATATATATATATATATATATATATCTGTTTATTTTTTTAACCTTATTTTAATCAATATGTACATTTCTAGTTCTGAGATCAAGGCACGACGAACCTATTCAACTGTTTTCTTGGGGTTTTTTTTTGGTGGGGTAATTCATTTATTTTTCGATATTACCACTTTACGGTAAGGTAGAGTTTTTGTTATTCTTTTGAGTTCTTTTAATTCATCCCTTTCGATCGCAATGAATAACAGTTACGAAAATGGAATAGGCGAGCCGAGTTCAAATTCCAGCTAAGGCCGTTCGTGTTCACTTCGGCCTGATACCATCGGGAAAGGCAAAAATCCATCTCCTCTCTCCTCACTAAGACAGCAAGAAAAATCGCCTTTGTTAGCAGCTGTCTTAGGGAAGGATAACTCTGAATTTATAACCTTAACCGTCATGTACACATCAGCCACCCAGGTGGTAGCATCTTGGTGCCAGCCGAAGGGTTATAAATTACGATTTTGTCGACTACCTAATGATGGGGTGTAATTGCATGAAACTTTTAGTTGTAGTCGGCCATTCTTCACCGGGAAGTTATTTATAAATTATAGTAATATTCTCCCATTAGATATGACATTCGGCACTTTTTTTCAAGCGTGCTTTGGAAGCACACTCCCTTAAGAGTACACTCCAGTAGGAGTACACTCCCGTAGGAGCACACTCCCTTAGGAGTATACTCCCTTAAGAGCACACTCCCTTAGGAGCCTACTCTCTTACGAGTTTACTGCCTTAGGAGTATACTTCCTTAGGCCACCCTCCTTTAGGAGTATACTCTCTTAGGAGTACACTCCCTTAGGAGTATACTCCCTTAGGAATACACTCCCTTAGGAGCACACTTCCTTAGGAGTATACTCCCTTAGGAGCACACTCCCTTAGGAGCCTACTCTCTTACGAGTATACTGCCTTAGGAGTATACTTCCTTAGGGCACCCTCCTTTAGGAGTATACTCTCTTAGGAGTACACTCCCTTAGGAGTATACTCCTTTAAGAATACACTCCCTTAGGAATACACTCCCTTAGGAGCACACTTCCTTAGGAGTATACTCCCTTAGGAGCACACTCCCTTAGGAGTATACTCCCGTAGGAGTACACTCCCTTAGGCGTACACTCCCTCAGGAGCACACTCCCTTAGGAGTATACTCCTTTAGGAATATACTCCCTTAGGAATACACTCCCTTAGGAGCACACTCCCTTAAGAGTATACTCCCTTAGGTGTTACTTTATACATTGCTCAAATTAGATGCTTCGATACTGATTTTCTAAGCAAAGTTTAGATGTGGCACAAGGCCGAAAGTATGGGACACCCAATGACGATCGAACTCACTCTCTAGTCGTAACTGTTTTAGCGAGACAAGCTTGTTAACCATTGCATCATGCTGAGATGCCCAAATTAGATTCTCTCATATGGGGAAATTGAGGGTCCGGTATTGTCGAGCATTATTTTGCTTTTAAATTTACATTTTTTTGATGAGACCTTACTGTTTCCCATGCTATGGAGCCCTTTCTAGATAAGCTTTTGTTATTTTTCTGGCGTTTGATTCCCCTTCACATACACTTCCGACCAAGTAATTATGATTTTCGGCATTTCCATCTTGGTCGTATGGGATTTCTCCTCTCGGTGAATTTAGTTGGACACGGCAGCTACCCTCGTTGTAAAAACTTGGGCAAACCGAATGGCTATTATTGCCATTTTCACCAGAAAACAGTTGTCGACGACCTGATGATGGCGTGAAACTACATGGTACTTTTAGATGGGGTTGGCCATTCTTCACCAGGTAGGCATCTATAAATTAATACTCTACAAAAAGATATGGCATCAAACCGTTTCTTTCCGTCTCTCTGCCTTGCTTTTATGAGTTGCTTACTTCGTACACTGCTTTTATATATATATATATATATATATATATATATATATATATATATATATATATATATATATATATATATATATATATATGTGTGTGTGTGTGTGTGTGTGCATATATATATATATATAGACATACATATATATACATACATATATATATATACATACACACACATAAATATATATGTATATATATATAAATATAGACATACATATATCTATACATATATATATATATATGCATATATATATATATCTATATATATATATATATATATATATATATATATATATATATATATAAACGCGTCGTTTATAAGCTTTTTTTACGTTGTCTCATATCCACTTATGCTTCGGATTCTATTATACAACCTACACATGAAGACACACACTAACACACACACACATATGTATAAATACATACATACACACACATATTTTTTTTATATATATTGTTATTTTATATACGCGGTACTTATTGGAAAGCGGTCAAAAAGCGTGAAATCCACGGTCACAAACTCATATCCATACAAGTCAATATATATATATATATATATATATATATATATGTGAATATTTTTTTATTAAGCTGTTCCTTGACCTAAACTTTCGGCTTACATAAGCCATCTTTAGAGTTATTATGCGGACATTACATAAACATTAGATCAAGGAACAACTTAATAAAAAGTATCCAAATTTTGGTCAATTTTTTGTTTTATTTTCACCCGAAATTAAAGCAAAAATACGAAGTTTAGAACGGCTTATGATTAGACATAATATACATTCGTTTTCTGTTATATTAAATAATATATATATATATATATATATATATATATATATATATATATATATATATATATATATATATATATATATATATATATATATATATATATATATATATATATATATATATATATATATTACATAATAGAGAAATCCAAAATGACCTCATGAGAATAGACTATTTCAACTAACGTCAATGCGCTAGCATTTTCGGATCAAATGCATTGAACACTTTTTTGTGGATCAGTTTTAATATTTAATATAATTAGGATCCATTTATTACCTGAACTGTATATATATATATATATATATATATATATATATATATATATATATATATATATACTCATGCGGCTTCGGGAGACATATACAGATGTTGAGTTCCTGAAGGAATTTGATGTTGTCTGATTCCAACAACCAGGTGACAAACTGTATCAGCCTCGCCCTGTTTTTACCTAACATCCGTAGCGTGGAAACCTGCTTCATGGACAACTGGCTATCTTCTATGAAACATTACCCATGTCTTAAGCCTGGAATGCAAGATCTTAATTCTGAATAATTGTCTTCGCTCAATATCATTATGCTTTTCGTGTTCCGTGATTAGTTATTACTACGACACTTTGGATATCTCTGAGTGAAATTAAATGTTTTAGCATATTTTCCACTCCACTCCTAATAAAAATAAATAAATTACAGAATCGAGTGAGACGCATGAAAGAATAAACATGAGCATATATTTAAGTTTTTGATATCAAATTTTTTGTATTTATTGTGATTATTAACGTAATTGGTACTATTTTTCATTTTCAGGAAATTCTTCGAGTAAATTAGGCTATAGAGGGAGTTTCGGAGAAAGGTTTGTTTTATAAATATCGAGTTAATGAAATTTTATAAATAAAAAATCCAAATAAACCATATTAAAAACAAAATTTCCTGCCAAGACATATAGTACCCTCTGTAATTTTTTTTTTCTGTTTGAACCTACCTTGTTAAAAATCCTGGATCCGTCCTTTTAATGTACTCCATTTCAACTTAAAAAAAAAAAATCTAAAAATGTCCCAACAGGTTTTTTTTTTTTTTTTTTTTTTTTTACTTATGAGGAAGCTACACATCAAAGTGACTAACATAGCCAAGTTGGTTTAAACGATTTTCAGTACTCGATTTGGATATTTTGAGTATGATGGCTATTGATATAAATGCAAGCAGTACTTCTTCGAATCAACCGTTTAGTTTTCCGGAAAGACTCACAGTAAAAGACTCTGTTCCAATTCCCTCACTAATATACGCAATAAATCATTTGGATGAAGATCTACATTTTCATTTTGCTTGCCCTATGGTCTCTTGCGTTTCACATACTTGCAAGATATTTACTTTTATCCTCCGTCATAATTTATTTCAAAAACATTATTTTCATTATGTGGAAGCTACACAACAATGTGACTAACATAACCGATCTGGTGTAAATGCTTTTTAATATTTGGTCTAGATATTAAAAAATATTATCTTAGAAAGAAAGTCACGATCCCAATTTGTTAGTTCGTGTAAAAAAAAAAAAAATTGCGACATGGATGGAAAATGTCAAAACCAAAATAAATAAATAAATAAACAAAATAGAATGAGGAAAAGTGAAGTCTAAAGGCTTATAATTTCTAACAAACCCGGATTCCGGTTTTATGTCCCTCCTTCTTTGCACTAAGACTCTCACTGAATAGAAAAGCTGACTCAAAATTGCTTGTAATGAAGTAATTCAATTTGAATTAAGGGTGTAATAAGAAACGTTTACAGACAGACTGAATATAGTTTTGCTTCTGTTAAGAGAAACCAAAGTCAACTGCACTGACATAATAATCACACATTTCTCTTTTATTCTAACTGATATATGTTTGTATGTATGTATGCATATATATATATATATATATATATATATATATATATATATATATATATAATGTATGTTGATAGATAGTTTATGGAGTAAATATTTACATTTTGTGCAGTACATCGAAGTTAATACAATGTCCGTTATTGACAGTCTCTAAATTCAATGTACATAAATGAATGCTACCAAAATGCAGCCGATCTGCCTAGCCCTATGACGTCACCGATAAACCATCGGTCACAGGCTCTTTTTTCACAATAACGTTCTCTTCGTGTCCATTTAGTACTTGGCCATTATAGACCGGTTCTTTAAATTCCTTTGGCCGGTCGAATTTCTCATCTTCTGGAGTCTTGAAGGTGAGATTAGGATTAGCAGCCATGACAGCCGATGTGAGCAGCTGGGGACTTTTCACTTCCGTTGTGTTACCGGAAGCTGTGCCTTTGCTGTTGGTCGAAGTCAGAATTGTCGTGCTAGCAGTGCTGATGCTATTGGTCGACCGGGTCGACGGGGCCGACGCCGCTCCACCGCCTCCACTGGAGGTGGTCGCTCTCGGCGATGTGGATGCCAGACTCCCAGCACCGACGGCTCCAATTCCACCTCCCACAGCTCCACCGCCTCCTACTGCTGCTGCTGCTGCCGCCGCAGCCGCTGTTGCCGACACCGCCGTGATGGTGGTTGTTGGACTGAGTGTCGTGTTGGTGATAACCGATGCAGGACTGAGTGCAGTGGAAGAATTGGCGCTGGACACCGCCCCTCCTCCCCGCCGCCACCGCCACCTCCGCCACCACCGCCACCACCACCACCTCCCGCTGCAGACTTGCTCCCAACGCCGCCGTTGGAGGCTCCGCTCGCACCTCCGCTACCTTCACCTCCGGCGCTGCCACCGCCTCCTCCTCCTCCTCCTCCTCGCGCTGATTCCTTCACCGGTTCACTGTCTGATTTATCCCCGTTCTGAGCCGGGTGTGGAATGGTAGCTGTCACCCTGTGGGTGTCGGTAGAGGCGGAAGTCGGGCTAGAAACTTCCAGTTCGCTTGGTTCAGAGAACTTGATACGCTTGGCGGGATTTTCGTAGACGCTGTAAAACAAACGAAGGGGGCCTCTCTGCAAATAAGCAAAAGAAAAAAAAAATTGGTTAACAAAGGAAAAAAAATCACCGAAAGTAGGAAAAATCTCCTATCATAATCCTCATCGGATATATATATATATATATATATATATATATATATATATATATATATATATATATATATACAGGATGTCCCAAAATAACGTATACACTCCTTGAATCGTTATAACTTATTCAATTTATGTATTTTGACTTGTAAATAAGATTAATACAAGAGAAAGAATACATATTTAAAGAATTTGAGAGTAAAATATACAAAAAAAAAAAAACAGAAAATTAACTTTAATACAATAAAAGGTACTTATAGCAATGGCAGAATGTTCATATAATGATGAGTTCACATCTATTGCTCAAACTGGTTGCCGTTCTGTTCAATACACTTTTCATATCTTGAAGAAATAGACCTACAAAAGTCCAGTATCATTTCCTCTGGTATTTGAACACATTCTTCTTCAATTGCTACTCACATTTCAGCAATTGTTTCAGGTTTCCTGCTGTAAACTTTATAATAATACAATACATGCTTTTAAACTACAAATTTCTCATGATTTCACTCAAATGTACATATTTGCTCGAAGCGTATCTTAACGTAATCAAATGACGTCATATCTTATGAAAAGGACTAAGTTCGACAATTATTTTAATATATTTTCTGTTTATACGTTATTTTTATAAATACAAATCTTGAAGTAAATGTTCTGTTTATAATAAACAATATTAACAACATTTACTGACCTCAGTTAACATATCTGTATAGGATCATTCGAGAAAAATAATGGGAAATTTGTTGTTTAAAAACAGTGATTTGACTTCGTTAACCAGACGCTTCCTCTGTAGCTAAATAGTATAGCACGTCAGGCTATATGACGCTTTCGTGTAGGATACAGGTTCGTTGCCTGAGACATATTTTTGATGAAATTTCTCGGACATTCAGGCCGGTAAATGTAGTTAATGCTGTTTATTATAAACAGAGCATTTACTTAAATATTTGTATTTATAAAAATGGCATATAAACAGAAAATATATTAAAATAATTGTCGGACTTAGTCCATTTCACAATATATGATGTCATCTGTTTACGTTAAGATACACTTCCAGTAGATATGAACGTTCGAGAGAAGTTATGGGAAATATGTAGTTTAAAAATAGTCATTTGACTTGTCTAACAGATATTTCCTCTGTAGCTAAATGTTATATCACGTAGGGCTATATGACGGTTCCGTATAGGATACAGATTCGATTCCTTTAGGAGGACACATATTGTCTATTAAATTTCTCGGACATGCAGGCCGGTAAATGTTGTTAATACTGTTTATTATAAACATTACTTAAATATTTGTATTTATAAAAATAACGTATAAACAGAATGTATATATATATATATATATATATATATATATATATATATATATATATATATATATGTGTGTGTGTGTGTGTGTGTGTGTGTGTGTGTGTATTTCTTAGTGAGAAATAAATGAAATTATTTTAGAAAGTTTCTTTTTTTAGAAAAGCTTGGAAAATATTTATTTACATCTGTTACAACACGCACTTATTTAATTTTATGAAATTTCGAAGAATTTGTTTTTAATTTGTTTGGTTAATGTTCATAATAGTTATAAGGAGAAGTCCTTGGAGAATTTAAATCATCATTTTTGGGGGTGGGGGAAATAAGACTTCCAGTTAGAGAAAATCTGCTCTGAATCATAAAATAAAAATGCAATAAAACTAAGACATTATTTAATTAAAAAAAGTTTTCAATTGCTTTTATCAATAAGATATATTCAACGAAATTTCTTTTCGTAAGAAAGAAAGAAAAATTCGATGAATAAAGAATTTTTACAAGAAGTGTTTTCAGTTTATTAAAATTTTAATTAGAATAATATATAAAGTTTTAAATCTTTAAAATTCAGTGATAATTTGTAGCGATTATATGATATTTTTATTATATTATATTATTATTTTATTATATTTTTTATTAATATAAATGGAAAAGCTTACTACAATTCAACAACCCCAGTATTTTAAAAAGAATTTTGATTTTTTTTCGTGCGTGTATAAACGCACTGATTTTTGCAAATGCACGAAATTATCAGTAAACAAGATGTGTAGCTATAGTAAACTTCCTCAACGAGCGTCTTTGTAAGTAAGGTTATAAAATCAAATTAAAATCAAATTACCTAAAATTCAATAGAATATTAGATGAATATTTTTTTAGAATTACTGGATGGTTAAAGATGATTAATTACAAAAGGCGTTCACGTTGTATTTGACAAGCGAAATTTTACCGTTATATTTCATTTAGTTAAAAATACCAAACATTAAGATATCGATAAAACTGTCAAAACCTCATATAAACACCAACCTCTGGGTTAAAAATGATTTTCAGCGATATTTTAAGCGTAAGTAATATTTGTTTTTAATCCAGATTAATTAATCTTTAAATCAACTAATCTTCCTTAGATAAATTTTGAATGATTTTTTAATAAAGAATGTTGCGTTGACAAATATGTCAATATGGCCGATTATATCAATTAAAAAACAGAACTAAAAAAAGAAGAAGCAAAAACAAAATATTCCAATCAATTTAAATTCTGAAATACAGCAAAGTATGTTCTTTTTTCTATGCTTTCTTTATAAAGCACGCTCTATTTGATACCGTAAATTATCTTTCCTGTGATGTTCTGAGATTACTTACCAGTCGAATGAACGAAGAGCCAACTCTTTTAAGCTTTTTTAACGATGTTTTCTTCTTTTTTTAAAAAAAAAAAAACAAAAAAACAACGCCTTTTATTTGATGCCGTGAAGTAAATCTCAACAAGGAGCAAGGGAGTCGAGTTTTGGTCGAGGCTGCTAACCCCACCACACTCGAGCAAAAGTTCGACCGACTTCTTAGCTTGAAAATGACGGACAAATCAGCTGCACGGTTACTAAATGATGTCAACTTCGTCCTATCTACAGATATCTGACCACGAGCGCCGTACGGTTCAACAATCCCAAAGAACTAATGTACCCGCTTCTTCGCCGAATAAAAATCCTTGTGTTGGTTGCGGGGAGGCATTCCACCTCGGTGGATCAATTAGTAGGAGAGATTACCCAGCAGCTAAACTGGTATGCCATAATTGCGGGATTAGGGGTCACGTAATAATGGTATGTCAGAAATCTATTGAAATTTGAACCACGAGCAGATCAACAGGGTGCGAGACGGTGTGATTCATTCACTTTCTCAAACACTAGACTGAAAGTTCCCACCCTCACCCCAACCTGCATTCTCCGCTAAGCTGGCAGAACAAAACGGAGCCGTAAAACCTGCTTGTCACCGCCCGGTGCTGTGCCTCATCTTGTGTGGAATGGATAGCAATTTGGTGACCCGGATTCAGCGCCATCATTGACAATAGAACAGATTATAGTAAATCAAACCCACGCTTCATTTGGAGGCATCCCGACTGGATCAATTAGCCACGGTAGTCGCTGGAACTGCTCAGCAACCTTGATATATTTGGCAAAGATATTAGAACAATCAAGAATGTAGCAGCAAACGGCACGCATGCGCATAGAGAATGAGTTCAGCGAATGTTGGACGGTCTCCTCAAAGATGAAGAAGAGACTAGAGGCAGCGGAGATATGGTTCTATAAAAGGATGCTAAGGATATCATGGACCGAGCGTGTGAGCAACGATGAGGTCTTGAAGAGGATGCAAACAAGGAGGAAGCTTATACTTAATATAAGGAAGAGGCAGATGAAATTTCTGGGACACGTAATGAGAAAGGAGGGCTTGGAGAATCTCATACTCACAGGTCGAATAGAGGGAAAAAGAGACAAGGGAAAGCATCGCATGACATACCTGGCGGGATTAAGCAAGTGGATGACAGAACGTGGTCTGAGCTGCAAGGGATAGAGGGAATTGGAGAGCCATGATTGCCTACGCCCTGAAAGGTCACGGCGTTTAAAAAGAAGTCATCGCATTCTCGCGTTCGCCGATACAGGGGTTTAAACATAAAGTGGACTACTCAGGTGCCCAGACGAGTACCTCATGCCAACTAGTCATCGAATATGGGCATCACAGACAACCAACTTCATATAAAGGCCATGTTGTTTAAGCATATAAGAATTGGCTTGAGGGAAACACGACAGATGGTGTATGTGCCAAACAACACGTCTTTCTTTTTTACTCGTCAGAGTCTGCCCTGAAAGACCTACATCTGTTGGTACTTGATTTCCCAGCCGAGATATCACGGATCAACACGTTAAAGGAGGCAAAGGAAAATGCTATGCGCACATGCCTAGACAGAAGACCCATTTCAGCGATGCCTAGTACCACGCTGTTCCTTCTGACGGAAACCAACAGGCACGTACTGGAACGATGAATAATTGACCAGGGCATTTGATACATGCCCACACCAACCATTACAGACTATGACAGGAAAGCAATTGGACATTACCACTGTCTCTGATGCGACGGCATCAGTGGTCCACACACCGATCCCCGATCCATCACCATCGGGAGAAAAGTGAAACAAGAGCTCGATCGAGACGTTGCATAGGGTATAATTGAACCGGTGCCAGTGGGCGTACCTACAACGGTGCTCAAGGATGGTAGTCGCAACCCGCAAAATTGGCTCCCTCATACGCACGGTGGAATTACAAGAACTGAAACGCTGTCTCCATGAGGGAAACCCATCACATCCCGTCCCTATTTAATCAGGTCTTTACCGTTCCGGTTCAGACAAGAAAAAACAGTTCTGAACGCATGGAACGGGTCCCACAGCTTACCGCTTTCCCCAGCCGCAATACGTTTATCACTGACGGGAGCGTTACAGATATCTTCGTGCTTCGCAGGTATTTCACGCGTCTAGAGACGTATATAACCGTCGCTCCCACGATATTACAATGGTTTGAAAAACCTGTTGCATAGACGAGAGCCTTCTTTTGGGACGATTTTATAAAGTCCTCATTCTAGCAGATATAACCCACTGTGGAAAGAATGGGATTGTGTTTAACCCTGACAAATTCCATTTTGCAGAGAATGCGATAGATTTTGCTGGGTTCTTAATATAATGCCGATGATGTGAAACCAACAAAGAAAAAAAACTGTGGCCATACGTCACTTTCCTACGCCCTCAAATATCACGGGCGTCAAGTCCTTGTTTGGACTGGTGAATCAGGTATCTTATGCATTCTCGAAAGTTAAGGTAATTCCCCTTTTCCGGGAATTACTGCTCTCGAAGAACGGAAACTTTTTATTGGTACGAAACGCTTGACCACTTTTTTGAGGAGTCGAAGCGAGTAACCGTATGGAAAATTGAAGACAGATTCAAGATGTTCGAGATTAACAGAACGACAGGCCTTTTAACAGGAAATATTGGAATATTTTCTTTTTTCAAAAACACTGTAATTGCCCTAGCGAAGTGAACCGAAATTACGGTGATGGTCACTGGAATATTATTTTGACCGGGTCTTTCTTTACCAACGACGCAGAATCCCGCCATGCACCGGTTGAAGGTGAAACCCTGGCTCTTGTCTATAGACTAGAATTATGTCGGATGTTTATATTGGGATGCCCAGATTTACTAGTGACTGTTGACTATCAACCACTCATAGATCGGGCCCTCGAAAATATAAGGAAGCCACGTCTCTTTAATTTAAAAGAACACGCAATAATGTACGAATTCAGCATTAAACATCTCCCTGAAAAACTTAATGCTGCAATCGACTGCGCCTTCCGGTACCCAGCATGGATCCCACCGGAGGATTTAACAGAACGTCCCCAAATATCATCTGCAGCTATACAACAAAAACACAGACGGTCATTCTACGAGGCGACTACAATTGATGCAGTCAAACCAACCGACAGTACAATCAAGGGCGCTTTCATGTCGACATATGAGCATGACCCGAGATTGAGGTCTATCGCATGGGATTGCCACAGTAGACATTGTGAAGAATGTCGAACTCTGACGGAATATATACGGACTGGTTTCCCCAAATCACGTCATGAATACCGCGTCGGTAATCTCTTGGTTTTGACCCATGCGCGAGGAATTGTACTGCGCCGAAGAAATACAGATCAAGAAGAAGAAAATCCTTACACCTCGACAACTTCGTGTGGACGTACTTGAATCCGTGCATTCTGTACATCAAGGGTGAAAATGGCACGCTAGCAAATGCGAGAAAACGCCAATTTTGTCCTGGTTTGGATGCCAGCGTCCAACAGACCATAATCCAATGCCATATATATAACTCTATCGCCACATCACAACCCAAGGAGCTCTTGATGCCGCCGTCTAACCCTGAATTCCCATTCCAACAAACCAGGATTGACTTTTTCGACTTACACGGTAGAAATTATGTTATATAAGCAGATCGGTACACTGGTTGAGTGGAAGTGATATAATGTTACCTGGGAAGGCCAGGGCAATATGCGACACTCTTAGAACTTGGTTCTGTACATATAATGCACCTGACAAAAATTTCTCCCCACGGGGGACCACCTTTTTATCCCCAAGAATACAACTCGTTCCTTAAGAATTGGAGAATACGTCGGCTTAATACCCACAAAGGAATGGCCGGGCAGAACTGTTCGTCAAGACGACAAAGCGTATACTCGCAGACAATACGGACAGCTGTGGTCTGCTGTGTCAGAACTGGTTGCCAAAACGGCAAATCATATGCTCGCAGACAACACGGACAGCTGTGGTTGGCTGTGTCATGATCATGTATCCCATGCTTTGCTGACCCAACGCAACACTCTCGACCAGGATCTTGGCATGTCTCTTGTGATGATGTTATCAAAGACGACCTCCCTGTCCTACGGATAAATACCAGATACATAAACAGTGGAGAGAAATTGGTGAATTGATACAGGCAGTAATGGCTAAAACTTCATGCGGAATGAACACATTTACAATGAATATTGTCGTTGTCTCTATTTCTGAGATGAGGTATTATGTACATTATTTACATTATTCGGACTATTGTCCCCATCTTTGTCGCCATATTTATCGCAACATTTCGGCCGTTGTACGCTCCGACCTTCTTCAGGTGGTTGGAATGTCGAACTGAACTCTTTATTTCACTCACTGGGGTAGTGGAACTAGAACAGTCTACCCCAGTGAGCGAAATAAATAAAGGGTTCAGTTCGACATTCCAACCACCTGAAGAAGGCCGCAGCGTACAACGGCCGAATCGTTGTGATAAATATGGCGACAAAGATGAGGTCATTAGTCCGAATAGTGTAAATAATGAATATTGTCGCCCAAACAATATAAACCAAATATCGCAAGTAATGAACCCTGAAGAAATGGAAATTGACGAAACCGCGGATTCAGCGGGCCAAATACATGGTAAAATAGAACACCAATAATGGGCGCCACCATCGAATCACGCGAGGACCTCTAACTCTATCCCCACAAATGCGAGAACAATCGCACCCATATTCTGGGGAAAACCCTCAACTGACCACGTCAATCCGTCCTGTAGTCAGAGGGGCATGTAGTGTCGAAATGGAATGTCTTATTAGATAATGGGGGACTTCCATACTTACTTCGTCCAGTATTATAGTGATTTTCCAAGCGTAGTTTAGATGTGGCACAAGGCCGAAAGTCTGGGGCACCCAGTGAGGATCGAACTCACTATTCAGTCGTAATTGATCTAGCAGAGACAATCTTGCTAACCATTACACCACGTCGAATTGCCCAAAATGATTTTCTAGGCGTATCTTAGATGTGGCTCAGGGCCGAATGTGTTGAGCACCCAGTGAGGATCGAACTCACTATTCAGTCGTAATTGGTCTAGCGAGATAAGCTTGCTAAGCATTACACCACATCGAAGTTCTCAAAATGATTTACTAGGCGCATCTTAGATGTGGTACAAGGCCGAATGTATGCAGCACCCAGTGAGGATCGAACTCACTATTCAGTCTTGATCTAACGAGATAAGCTTGCTAAGCATTACACAACAGCGAAGTGGCCAAAATGATTTTCTAAGCGTATCTTAGATGTGGTACAAGGCCGAAAGTATGGGGCACCCAATGAGGATCGAACTCCCTATTCAGTCGTAAGTGATCTAGCGAGATACGCTTGCTAACCATTATACCATTTCAAAGTGCCCCCAGTTTTATATAAACAGCTGAATGGCCAGTGTATTTTTGTATTTGTATTTTGTTGATACGAGAATAAAGTAATTGAGAATTACGACCGCCATTGTCCTTGTGGTTATTTTACATTAGTCTCTTTTTTGGTGATGTTTACTTTTTAAAAAAAAAGCTCTTTATTTGATGCCGTAAATTGTCTTTCCTGTGAGGATCTGAGATTACTTACCCGTCGCCAAGTGTATATATATGCAATGTCAATCAACGTATAGTCATCATCGAGGGATTCGTCCGTGTGGAAAATATCAATCTGTAAAAGAAACAAATCGTTTAGAAAATTGACCGCCATTATTGGTGTTACTAAATACACTATTCAAATCTCCAGCTAAACAACTTGCGACTTTGTACCAGCGCAACGAACGACGGCTGTCGAATAGATTGATAAACCCAATTTCGCTCAAAAGGCTTGGCTCAACCGGTATTATGATTTTCAGGAGCTTCCCAACAGAAGCGCAAAGTGTTGCTATCTCCCCAGAGATTTTATGGTAAATAAAACTACTTAGCAGTTTTCTCTAATATATGTTTCATTTTAAGTCACAAACAATTTACTTATGTTAGTTTTATTTTATTTTTTTTTAACTTTGAGTAGAAATTTTTCAAACGATTGTTCATTCTGAGCGCTTTCGGTTAATCTATTCGACATGATCGAGGATTTTGGTGGTGCTGTAGTAAATAGCATATACGCTATTGAAAACGTATTTTTAATTCCCGAATACGACCAGTACATTTTGATCGTGTTCATAGTTTATATTGTTAAAGTTTTATTATTATTATTATTATTATTATTATTAGACGGTACTTGCAGTTGAAGGTATGTAAGACTTTGTGCTCTCGACAAGTATGTTGTGTATCGAGGCTTGTACACTTTGATGCTGGTTTAAATGGGCCCTTATGGAGCTCTGGTCTGAGAGGTGTAGTGTCAGCTGTCTTGATTGGACGGCAACTCTCAGCCTGCTGGCAAATGTTGCGATGATTTTTGGAACTAACAGGATTTTGCGTGATGGTGTTGCTAGTCTCACGCTCGACCGGGTTTGAATTAAGAGTTACACTTACCCAACTCCATATTTAACTTATAGCTGGTAGGAGAAGAGGTCGATTCCTTTCTTTCCGAATATATATATATATGTATATATATACTTTAAAAATCAGGAGGTGAATTAAAATACGCGATCATAGTTTCGACCTGACGGTCTCTTCGGGCGAAACTTTTAAAATGACTACTTTAACACTTTATTTTTAAAAAAAAGCAGAAAGAACCCTACATAATTATCTTAAAAAAGCAAAAAAAAAAAAAAAAAAAAACACACAAAAAAACAAAACAAAACAGACGCATGATGAAAGACAGTTCGCGTATTTTAATTGACCTTCTGATTTTTAATTTAAAAGCTCTACATCTTATTTTTATTCTTACTTACGTTTTTTTGTCACGTGTATTGAGCACTTTTTAATACTACTGTTTCCTGGTCTGATTCAACTCTGACCATTAACGTTTTTATATATATATATATATATATATATATATATATATATATATATATATATATATATATATATATATATATATATATATATATATATATATATATATATATATATATATATATATATATATAATGTGTGTGTGTGTTTTTTTTTTCACTTTAAACGTTATTTTTAGTGGGTACTCGTAATTGCGTCCAAGCGTTAATGTCCTGAGGGATGCAAGTTCGATTCTTGCCGGAGGGTGCAATTTTTCTTTAATAAGATTTCTCAAATATTCAGGTCAGTAGATGAAAAAAACGAATATACTGTTCAATAAATAAACGGAGCGTTTACTCAAAATAGTGTCCACTAAAAATAACGTTTAAAGCAACAGAAATATGCCGAATATATATATATATATATATATATATATATATATATATATATATATATATATATATATATATATAATACTGCAGACATTATTTTACTGGATACCCGTATTAAAAATCCATTAGTCCTTTAGAAATATATACATATATAATGGACTCTCCCCGTCGGTTTCGACGTATGAGGATCTGACAACTTAATTGATTCAGTTATGAAATTTTGTGCGATAATCTTAAGTGGCATTTAAGACCCACTAGTGATTTACAAAGGAGGCCACATATGGAACAAGTGTGAGGATTGTGAGATGAGATCACTGTTAGATTGGCTGACCTTTTAGTTCTTGCTCTCGCTTCTTGAAGAAGATTCAGACAAGTAGATTGAAAATTGCTGAGTCCACTAAAACACGTTGATCTCCATTCTACTCGCTCCAAGGCGAAGCGCTCAAGGGTGTTATGTGGTATATTGAGTGCTGACAAGTAACACACACACACACACACATATATATATATATATATATATATATATATATATATAGTTCAGCTAATAGGGACACGTCTTAAAAATGTCAATTCATCAAGACAGGACTGAATAACACACTCACCCATAACCTCCATCCTATATTTCTCACTTTTTTGTTTCAACCATGACCCGTTTTTTGATTGGTTAATCTAGACATACCCATAAAACTTTGAATTCTTGTCCCCCTCTTTTTAAATAAGCTACCGTATTGTTTACTGGTTCCAGAAATAAATTATTTTCATTATAAGTTACCTAACGTCTATCAACTGAGAAAAGCCCGGAGCGTTCAACGGCCGGAACGCCGTGAATACAGCAATAAAAATAAGAACAACAGTCCGAATGATGTAAATAATATAGTTACAATACCTCATCTCAGAAATAAAGATAGAGTCTGAAGAAAGCCATGATTGTAGAACAGCCGAAACATCATGATTGTGGCAATAAAGATGAGGACAGCAGTTAGAATGATGTAAATAGTGTAAATTGTTACAATACTTCATCTTAGAATTATAGATAGATTCTGAAGAAAGCCGGGGCGAACAACGGCCGAAACGTGAATGCAGCAATAGAGATGAGGACAACAGCCCGAATGATGTATATTGTGTAAATAGTAAATACTCATCCCAGAAATATAGACGCCGTATTTTTGCATTATTTTTTTTCTTTGTCTAAGTTAAACTATTCCAAATGTTGTTTTTGCTGTTTGCTTTTGTTTTATTAAAAAAAAATGTATTTTTGTTTGGTATTTTTTCTATAGTCTGCTTCGACTAAATACCATTTTCGCTTCTTTGGAAATGTTAGCAGCGCTTCAGAGATTATAAACAAAAATGTAGACATCATATGCCACAATTTATGCAGCCTCCATCAATGACGTCATATCTGAATGATTTTTCCTCTTTAGTTTTACACAGTTGTCCAGTTGAATCACAACAGATGACAACATTTTCTTTGTTTGAAACAACCAAGGTTTAATTTATTTGGGGCAAATAGATTTTCGTCTGATTCAACTATTATCATTATTATTATTATTATCATTATTATTATTATTATTATTATTATTATTTCTGCTATGGACACACTACCTACCAAGTCTGCGGAAAGACCTAAGGCAGGTCGTGGTGTGTTGTTATGGCCACATTTCATTTTTTTTTTTTTTTTTTTTATCTCCGATGAAGTTGCTAGCGTTACATAAACAAAGTTCTCCTTAGTGTGTGTGCTGTACTTAATAAGACAATTTTCTGTATGTCTCTTAAGCTGGGGTTTCAGGGATTCTTTCAATGTGTTGTTTTGTTCCATTTTTATAATTCCAAGTGCACCTATTACCACTGGTATTATTCTTGTTTTCAATTTCCACATTTTTTCTATTTCAATTTCCAGGTCTTTGTATTTTGATAGTTTTTCAAATTCCTTGGTTGCTATGTTACAATCCGCTGGACAAGCCATATCAATTAGTAGGCAAGTTTTTTTCTTTCTGGTTTTTGACAATAATGTCCGGCCTATTTGCTTCAATTTTTCTGTCTGTGTGGATGGTATAATCCCATAGAATGGTGACATCTTCTATTTCTGTAACCGGCGCTGGCCGATGTTCATACCAGTGTTTGCTTACACATTTTCCAAAGTGTTTGCACATTGTCCAGTGTAAGTATTGCCCCACTCTATCGTGACGATTTTTATATTCATTTGGGGCAAGTATAGAACATCCTGAGATTAGATGGTCTATTGTTTCTTGGTATTTGTCACAGAACCTGCATTTTGGATCCACATTATTATGTATGATATTTGCCTGAAAATTCCTAGTGAAAAGACTCTGGTCTTGCGCTGCAAGAATAAAGCCTTCAGTTTCAGACTTTAATCCAGATGCTCGTAACCATCGATGAGTATTAACTTTATCAACATTGGGTTTATTTGCACGTTCTGGATATTGGCCATGCAGAGGTTTGTCTTGCCAGCGTTGTTTCATCTGTTCAAGGGCTTTATCCTTGGCTTTTTTTCATATCTTTTGCTGCAATAGTTGGTTCTTGGCTTCTGTTTTGATTTACTACAGAATCTACTAAATGTAAATGTTGTTTGTATTTACTGCCTTCTTTTTATTATTGAATATTTTTTCTTTCTGTTTTCATGTTGTTTCACTAATTTTATCATCCAGTCATTTGTTGTTTCCATGTAAGTTAGTAAGCCAATAGTTGTTGTCTTGTATGACAATTCTAGCTGAATAAGACCTCTTCCACCTTCTTTACGGGGTATGTATAGACGGTCTACATCAGCCTTTGGATGATGCATCTTATACTTAGAAAGAAGCTTTCTTGTTTTAGAATCCATTTGTCTGATGTCATTTAGAGTCCAGTTCAAGATGTTGAAACTATATTGGACCACTGGGATGGCAAGGTTATTAATGGCCATAATTCTGTTCTGAGAATTCAATTCAGTTTTTAATACCAGTCGTACCCTTCTATAGTACTCTTTACGCACTATTTCTTTCATTTTCTTATGGTGAATTCCTTCACTCTCATTTACACCTAGGTACTTATAAGCTTCTCCTTGTTCTAAATCTTTTATTGTTACAGCAGGGTCTAAACTAATAGAGGAAGTTTGTTGTAGCGATCCTCGTAAAACTGTAGCTTTAGCACATTTATCCAAATTGAATTTCATTCCAATGTCTTCACTGAAGCATTTTACAGTTTGCAGAAGACCTTCCAGCTCATTGTCATTCCTAGCATACAATTTTAAGTCATCCATGTAAAATAGATGGTTTATTTTCTTTTGAGCTATTTTGTAACCGCATTCTGTCTTGTTAAGTTGGCTGGTTAATGCTATAAGTGATATGCAAAATAATAAAGGAGACAAAGAGTCACCTTGAAATATTCCTCTATTGATGTTTAT